TAGGAGCAAGTGCTTCTACAACCCAGTGTTCGTCCAGTGCCTGGAGTACCTGATTCCGGCCGACCTGCACGAGGAGTACCAGGCCCACGTGCAGACGGTGGGCAAGTAGGCTCGCTCGACCTGCCTCGACCTGCTTCCCGAACTCACGCCAACGGCCAGAAGACGCAGAGGGGATTTTAGGATTTGTTTAGGGGTAACTGGCGCATTTTAATGATCCTGTACGGATTTTGATATGACTTTTCATATACTAGATTGTGATGAATCTCTTAATGAAGTATGTTGGAATTATGAAATGGTATTTTTCCTTTCACCTCAAGGCGCAAGGCAAACAGCAAGGGAAATAAAGGAATACAGAATGTTAGTAAAGAAATCTTGCTTTTAAAATTAAACCTAATTCATCAGTCCTCTCGGGTGGCTCATATATTTTGGTTTAAACCTGGGCTGATCTATGCTCTGCGTTGCACATATCTAAAAAAAAAAAAAAAAAACTGTACTTGAGATACAGTGATCCGTGATTCCCGTGAAAACAGGAAAAGGCAGGAAGCAAGCATTCTGTAACGTGTGTTTGCCTCTCATCGTTCTTATATATTTATCCATTTCACTTTTTTACGGGCTCACTAATTTATTCCCGCACGAATATTGGTGCATTTGATTATCTTATTATTTAGATGCTTAGCTCCTACACGACGAAAGCTTTTGGCAGTGTAAAAATAATTTCAAAGACTACAGGCTAAACAAATAAGTCATTTTGCTTTCGTATCAGTGAATCAGTGGCATGACTTTCGAGGGAATGACGACATTCAGAAGAAGTGTTTATGGCGATGATTCGTGAATTTTATTGAAAAAAAAAAATTGGGATTCAGAGACCAATGAAGTCTCACAGTAGTGTCTTCGATATAATCATACAAGTTACACCAATTGGTTTTGAAGGGGGGAATGTCTTTTGTTTTTATACTGATTCGACCGAATTTCACAGCCAAATGTACAGATAATGACTCATTTCGAGAAACACCCCCCCCTTCCCTCAAAGGTTTCTCGCTTTCGACGGCGAAAACCTGCCTCCCTATCGGTTCTTGGGCGTGGAACCGTGACGGCCTTATGCTGCACTCTAAGCTGCGGTAAGAACCCAAGAGGTGGGTTGCACTCGGCGTGTCCGCAAAGACAGCGGATTCTTCGCTTCTCTGACCCAACCATCGGGCAGTGGGATGGAGGCGGACCGAACGCGCGTTAGACTTCGACGCCACGGCGAGACTGATTTGAAATATCGGAGAGGTTAAACACCATTCACCAAGCAACCTGGATGATCAGGAAATCGAGTCCATGCATGCTGAAAGCTAATTAGCTAGTTAAATAACGTTCTGGCTCTGTAATTGGCTATTTTGAGTGCAGCGAATGCAAGGCAGACTCGATAGATTAGTTGTTTTTTTGCATATTGTGAATCTGAAACATGATTAATCACCTGTCCCAGTAATATCATAGAAAACACTGTTCGATTTTATGAGACAAGGAAATATGGTATCGACTGATTTGAGAGAAATTGTAAAAAAATGCCGTTACTTAAATTAGTTTGAAATCGCTTGTTTAGATTCTAGATTCTATTGTTAATGTTCAAATTGGAGAGAGGGAGAGACAAACGGACGTAAAACAGAGATGGCAAAAGGGAGAGAGAGGGAGGAATGCTATATTTAAAGAGACAGAGATATATACCAAGGAAGGGGATTGATAAAGAAAAGAGAATATTCAAGAGAGGAGAAAGAAAGCTAAAATCATATTACGGAGAGAAATAACGAAGAGAGAGAGAGAGAGAGAGAGAGAGAAAGAGAGAGAGAGAGAGAGAGAGAGAGAGAGAGAGAGAGAGAGAGAGAGAGAGAGATCGCAGCTTAAGAAAGAACTAGAGATAGAGAACAAAATTGAAGACATAGACAGATAAAGAGATTTATAAAAAAAAAAAAAAAAAAATCAAGATAGAAAAGTAGAGAGATTGAATGAGAGTGAGAAAATTGAAGGAGGGAAGAGATATATAGAAATAGGAAAGGTTAAAACAGAGAGAGAGAATGTTCAAAGTTTTAAGATAAACATAGAGAAAGAAAGAGCTGATACAAGCAAAACAGACAGAGGGGTTCTGAGAATAAAGAAAGAGAAGAGAGAGAGATAAAAATTAAATGTAAAGAACATTCGTGCCCATATCACATGTACTTGCACGCCTGGAGAAGCGCCTCCAAGGAACCTTGTCCTCCAGCCTCATATAAGGCGACTATCACGCGCCCTCTCTCCTTCCCTTGACCCTTGACCTCTGACCATGCTCTGTAATCCTTGTCCCCAAGTCTCCCGGCTGCCCTTCCGAACCTCACTTCTCATGACCTTCCTAGCCAACGAAATGCAGCGCAGGCTTAATAAGATCGAGAAAGTGTCTCATTGTTCTTCTCTGTCCTATCGGCCTCCTATCGCCCAAGACTAGACGTCTCGCTGCAATCATCACCCAGTCTTGCCCTGTATATAAATATCCGTTGTTTACGTGATGGGAGAGAAAGGAGGCAGAGAGAGAGGACAGATAGGGAGAGAGACAGAGTGCGAGGGCGGGCGGAAAGGCGACAGGGTTTCAGAGAGAGAGAGAGAGAAAGAGAGAGAGAGAAAGAGAGAGAGAGAGAGAATTAGAGAGTTAGAGAGAGAGCAAGTGCATCCAGGCAAAGACAAATCACGCACCCAAAAGCGTTTCCACAAAGAACGGGTTTCTGCGTCCCAAAGTCTCATCAGCTGATTGGCCCCATTCGAGGGCCGGCATCCACTCCCCTCCCTTCTGTTCACCAAGCCGAGGGGAGCAGCAGGTCCTCTCCCATATAAGGGCCAGAGCAGATCCCTCGCACTCAGACGGCGATCTGCTCTGACGCGTAGTGTGGGTCGCAAATCGTAAAGCATGTCCCTTGGTTTGATCGCCTTGCGCTGGGTAGGTATCAGCTGACGTCGAGGCTCGCTGAAGGAAATGTCCGTATTTTCAACATTTATGGAAAAGGTGTATGCATTTGTTAGTTGAATAAATGGCTGGGGATTTAACAAAAGGGAATGTATGACAAACTATCTTTAACAACAGATTGTGGCTGTTTAACAAGGAGCATATATCAGCTAAAAAATAAACAGTTTGATGTTGTTACACGTAAAGGTAGTTTCGAACGTCATATGCATTTTTAAGTGAAAATTCGGTTATCTAGAAGTATCTCGTTCTTGTTTTGTTGATTATCTTATAACTAATTTTGCAAAGGAAACGAACAAAAGATTATGATAATATTTCTCCTCCCTCATCTTACTAAGATATATTTTACAGATATCTTATCTGTAAAACGTAATGAATCTTGCATGTGACGCAAGGAGCACATCCTAATCTGTCCTTACATCTACATTTCCGCCGGATGCCATTAAAAGCAATTGTAGGTATTATGTGAAGTACGTCTGGTCCTCTTCCAAGGTGGCCGTGGCCCTGGTGGTGGTCGTGGCGTGCTCGACGACCTGGGCTCGCTCCCTCGAGGGGTCGTCGCCCCCCGTGGCCTCCCTCCTGGGGGGGCGCAGCCTCAGCAAGCGAGCAACCTTCGACCCTTCCTGCGCGGGCGTGTACGATCGGGAGCTCCTGGGGAGGCTGAGCCGCCTCTGCGACGACTGCTACAACGTGTTTCGCGAGCCCAAGGTGGCCACGGAGTGCAGGTGGGGCGTGGCGGCCTTCTAGCATATCCAAAAGTGTGGAGCATATCTCACTCATATTCCCTCGGTTGTGATACCTTAAATAGTTCCAGTCTCAAGTATTCCCAGCCGTTTACGTATTAACAGTTCGTATTGACCAACTAAACTCCATTCCAAGTAGTCTAAGGTATTATTTCCTTGGTGTCATGGAAAGTATCACCTTCTGACCTTTTTTTTTACAAACTATTCGTATTAAAGTTTGCTATCAAGACCAGCAAAATAATTCTACATCTTTCTTAGTATATACAACACTGTATTTTAAAGCATAAATCATATCTTATACCAGAAGTCACCCATATAACGAATTATTTCCCTGTCCAGGAGCAACTGCTTCTACAACCCGGTGTTCGTCCAGTGCCTGGAGTACCTGATTCCGGCCGACCTGCACGAGGAGTACCAGGCCCACGTGCAGACGGTGGGCAAGTAGGCTCGCTCGACCTGCCTCGACCTGCTTCCCGAACTCACGCCAACGGCCAGAAGACGCAGAGGGGATTTTAGGATTTGTTTAGGGGTAACTGGCGCATATTAACGATCCTGTACGGATTTTGATATGACTTTTCATATACTAGATTGTGATGAATCTCTTAATGAAGTGTGTTGGATTATGTAATGTTATTTTCCCAGTTTTTTAAAAAGGAGTAATGAAAGCGTTAAAGTAAGAAAAAGGTGGTTGTATGTATATATTCATACACATATATATGTATATATATACATATTTTTTTTTTACATTCACATATGCACACACACACACACACACACACACACTCTCATATATATATGTATATATATACTGAAAACGTCACTAAGATGTCATCTTGGAGTATTTGGATTATATACGCACAACAAAGAAAATGTTCTTCCAAAATACGGTGTGTTATCTCTTCTTTATCTACCTACATACACACACGCAAACACACACACATATATGTATATATATATATATATATATATATATATATATATATATATATATATATATACACACACATATATGTATATATATATATACATATATATATATATATATATATATATACATATATATATATATATATATATATATATACATATATATATACACACACACACAAACACACACGCATAAACTGTATAAACATATATATACACATATGTGTGTGTGTGTGTGTATGTGTGTGTGTGTGTGTGTCTGTGTGTGTGTGTGTCTGTGTGTGTGTGTGTGTATGTGTGCGTGTGTGTGCGTTAATGTGTGTTTCCATGTGTGTGCGTTAATGTGTGTGTGTATGTATGTA